AGATGAAAAGACCCTGAGAGACATGTCAACTAAATGCCATGTGTGATCCTCGATTGGATCCTGGATCAAGGAACAACAACAAAAAAAAAGGAAAACAGCTTCAAAGACTGATAACGAGGTACTTGGGGAAATTGGAATATGGATATTATATTAGATAAATGATTAGACCAGTTATTAGACTTTGGAGCATGAACATGGTATTTTGTTTATGGAGAAGAAGGGATAAAGGGCTTCCTTTATCCATATACATAATTGGATTTTTATGCCCAATGCATCCTTTTCCCCAACTTCTATTTTGCAGCATTTTAAATCTATAAAAAGGTCCCAAAAATAGTATAATAGCTATCCCTGTGCCCTTGTTTTGGGGAGAGGCAGTTTTTAGAGCTGAAGGGGTCATAATGGTTGCTATCTGCTTTCAAATAGTGTTGTTGTTTTTTTAAATTTTAATATGGCAAAATGTCAAATGCTAACCATTGGTGAGTCTAACACAAGGACACCGGGATAGTTATTATACTTTTTTTTTTTTTTTTTTTTTTTTTTTTTTACCTTTTTATAGATTTAAAATGCTGCAAAATAAAAGTTGGGAGAAAGGATGCATTGGGCATAAAAATCCAATTATGTATGTGGATAAAGGAAGCCCTCTTTCATCGATAGGTGTGAAGGTTTTAGAATAAAAACAGGCAAGTTGTTAATGGCCCTTGTTACTCAGCAACATCAATGGAAAATGCCCGTCGATTTATCTTGGGAATCGGAGAAGCGGAAAAGAAAACAAATTATGACCAAGCGAGGCAGATGAGTGAAACCCCAGCTGTCTTCACTCAGATGAAAAGTGAAAATGTCTCAAACCTAGCCATCTTACTGACGTCTAAGATCTGGGAGACCGCTTGGCGGAACTTTTCAAAGCCTGTGCATGATACTATCTGGACTCGCCCTGGTTCTTGAAACACACATGGCACACCCCAAATTTGCCCATGCTGGCACATAAATGCCACCCGTGCCCGTAAGATATGATATAAGTCCAAGGCACAGAAATGAAAAGAAACTGGTAACTGTTTTTCTCAAGGGAGGAAATCCAAGATGCCAAGATTTTGGCCTTACTTTTATCCTTTGTTCTATTCTCGTTTTTCCAAAAATATTTTTAAATATATTTTATTAATTTCTTTTTTTTAATATATATTTTATTGATTTTTTTACAGAGAGGAAGAGAGAGAGACAGAGTTAGAAACGTCGATGAGAGAGAAACATCGATCGGTTGCCTCCTACACACAGCCCCTATTGGGGCTGTGCATGCAATCAAGGTACATGCCCTTGACCGGAATCGAACCTGGGACCTTTCAGTCCGCAGGCTGACGCTCTATCCACTGAGCCAAACCGGTTCTGGCATATTTTATTAATTTCTTACAGAGAGAAAGAGAGAGGGATAGAGAGCTAGAAACATCAATGGGAGAGAATCATCGATCAGCTGTTTCCTGCACACCTCCCACTGGATGTGCCCCCAACCAAGGTGCACGCCCTTGACCAGAATGGAACCTGGGACCTTGAGTCTTGGAGGCCAAAGCTCTATCCACTGAGCTAAACCGGTCAGGGCCCAAAAAGATGTTTTAATTAATGGTGAAGAATTGATGGGTGGGTGGATGGATGATGGATGGGTAGACAGAGGGATGATGGATGGACAGAAAAACGAGTTTAGGCACAACTCTTATTCTAGGCATTTGCTCACAGTGGTTCCCCTCCCCCCACCCCACCCCGTGTCCCAATTACAAGGATCGCTGCTCCCAGGCTAATCTCCCTGATTTACCTGATTTGCACCCCGTTTGGGTCTGTCGTTTCTGAGACACAGCTTCTCTCAGCTCTGCATCTCCCCTGACTCCGGGGGCTCCCTGCCCACCCCCACAGCCCTGAGGCCCTTCCCTCTGGCCTCCTGCCGTGTGTCCCCAGCCCTGGGACCTTCATCTGTCCGATCCAAACACCCAGCCATTTATCTGCCAGGACAGACGTGAGCCGCAGCACATCCCCTGGATTGGAATTGCTCAACCTCCAGCGCAGACAAGGATTCTGTTCACACCCTGGGAAGCCTTCTGATGAGCTGCCAAGGCCCCGCTTTCCCGGGACCGCCTGGTGACAGCCTTCCTCCTCTCCGTGGCAATGTGCTTTTACAGTGAGCGCGCTCGCATCCACAGCCCCGGAATCTCATCACTCCGGCCTCTGCGTGGGCCGGGTGCGGGCTGCCTTCACTCCCAGCAGCGGCCAGGAAGGCTGAGAGCCTGTCCTCCGCTGCCTGGTCCTGCCAGCCTGTGGAAGCGAGGGAACATCAGCTCCCGGTAGGGGGTAGGGGGTAGGGGGTACCACCTGGAGGGCTGAGTCCTCAAGATGCCAGCCCCTGACCCCATCGCAGGTCATGATCCCCCAAGTCTGCCCAGAAACAGAAGGACCCCCATGACTCAGCCTCTTAGGAATAAAGAAGAGGCGTGGGGTCCTGCAGGTGTCTACCCAGGTCCCCTTTACCAGGCCTACACCCTGCCTACTGGGTTAGTAAGGGCTGGCTGCTAACAGCTCCTAGCATCCTCCTCCTCCAGCGAATCGCCTTCTTCCATAAGGGAGCCCCCATTCCCCCCCACAGAGGCAGCCCATGGACAAGGACTGGGAGACACAGCCTCAAAAGGCTGCCCCCCTTACCCCCACCTCAGCAAGACCCCTCTGTGCACTTCACGGGGGCTCCGTGGCATCAGGGGGAGGATCACCTGAGACCACAGCCTGACAAAGCTCCTCCCCCACCCCATCCTGCTGCCCCCCCCCCCCCCCCGTCCCCACCCACAGCCTCGCTGAAGCTTGGGGCTCAGGCTCTGTCTTTGGGGAGCTGGCTAGGAGGCAGCTTTCTCCTGCTCCTCCCGCATCACGCTGAGCACCGGCCGCGTAGCTGACACCTGCTGGCATTTGCCAGCATTGTCACACGCCACTCTCCCACAGTCCTGGGAGGCGGGCACGGTGGCTAACCCCACTCTAGGGCGATGACACATAGGCCGGGAGGTGAACCCACCTGCCCAAAGGCATGCAGCCCCCGGTGGTGGAACCAAACAACTGTAAGAGCTGGAGAGGGCTAGAGACCCCGCTGCTTGTGTCACGGTTAGGGAAACTGAGGGAACGGCAGAAGGTCGGACTGACAGCTTCAGACCAGATTGTCCAGACCCCACCCCCACTACAGAGCCCTTTCCATCACACCCCACCTTGTAGCCTCTAGCCACAAAACAAAACAAAGAATCTCTCTCGCTCTCTCTCTCTCTCTTTCTTTCTCTTTCTCTTTCTCTCTCTCTCTCTCCTCTCTCTCTCTCTCTCTCTCTCTCTCTCTCTCTCTCTCTCTCTCTCTCTCTTTTTCTCTCCTTCTCTCTCTCTCTCTTTCTCTTTCTCTCTCTCTCTCTCTCTCTCTCTCTCTCTCTCTCTCTCTCTCTCACACACACTCACACTCACACACACACATTGTAACAATCTGATAACCGGCAGCTGACGGTGCCCCTCGAGGAGAGCAAACTGGACGGTGGTCGGTCTCCAGGGAGGCCCACGAGCTGGCATCCTGGGTAAGTCCAGCCCTTCGGGTACGCAGCGCGAGGTCCATGGTTGTGACTGTAGGTGGTTGCAGGGCCTCCCCTATGCCATCCTCCCCAACCCCCCCACCCCGATCCCCACCAGCATAAATATTTTGCTAAGATTGGGAGGTTGCTTACTGTATGCCAGGCACCATGTCAAGTGCCATACATGCATCATCCCTTGGAACCCTTACAACCTCCTGCATGGTGGGTAGTACCATTTGACAGGTCAGGAAACTGATGCTGAGAGAAGTCACGTAACTTGCCCAGGGTCACAGAGCTAGAAAACGCCAGGACCCGTGCTGGCACTCGGGCGGGCCGAGTCCCAAGCCCCCATGTCTCACAGCCTAATTCTGTTGCCCGGGCCTTGCCCAGGTCTGCGTAACCCTCTGCAGGTAACCTGGAGGCATTTCCTAAGGAAACGGCCCCTGGAAGCCAAGGAGATGCAGAGAAGGGGTGGGACCCCTGGTCCCTGCAGAATCTTGAACGTGAACTAGACCTCTCGGCCTGTGAAGTGTCCCCGTGGCAGACACAGAGCAGGGAAATCAGCAGAGGCCAGGCTGTCCGCAGGCCCGTCCGCTATTTCCATGTGGAGAGAACGAGGGTGAAGGGAGCAAGGCGATTTGTACTATTTTTTTCCCTTTCTGGAAGGCCATCGGTGGAGGCTTTGCCCTTGCCAGTGATAAAGTGCTCATTTAATTATCAGTTTGGGGCTGAGTCCAGAGAGCTATTTTCCTCCACTATTGTCACAGGGAGATGAAAGACATCAGCCTCCTGAGCGGCTGTCATTTGGGGCCGCGGGTGGCCACAGACATGCTGCCTTGCGGGAGAGGGGGCTGTGTCCGGACGGAGCCTGCTGCGGAGGCTGTCCCAGCTCAGACAGCAGCTCGTGTCTGTCACTATCCCAGAAAGCAGGACCAGCGCCGGAGCCAGCTGCACCGCTCCCCGCCTTCCCTCTGAACACGCGTGCCTCCTCAGAAGACCCTGGCTGGAAGGACGCCGAGGCAGTGTGTGTTTGTTTGCCTCTGACCCTCAGTTCGGCTCCTGAGGACATTCTGAAGTCCAGCCAGCATGACCCTGACATCTCTGCCCCAGGCTAGCATCACCGCCTCTGGCTGGAATCAAGACATTTGACTCAGAAAGACATAGGTTTTCCTCTTACCCCACATCACCCCAAAACCTCTTGTGGCTTCCCACTGCCTTCTTGAAAGGGGCCGCATGCCCACAGCCAGGCATGCAAAGCCACTGTGATCTAGACTCCAGAGCCACAGAGGTGGTGATCAGGAAGTGAGCTGAGGGTTACTATATCAGCATTGTGATCTGAGCTCTGTGACCTTGAACATGTCTCTTCATAGGCCTCGCTGTGCTGCATTTAAATCTCACCCCCAAAGTTAGAGGCTCAAAGCAATACGTATTTAATCCTCACCTTTTCTGTGAATAAGGAATCCAGGCAGGGCTTCACTGGGTCCTTTGCTTGGGCTCTGTCACAGGTTGCAGTCAAGGTGTCAGTGTGGGCTGCAGTCTTATCTGAAGGTTCACCTGGGGAAGGAGCCATGCGGAGCTCATTCCTGTGGTGTTGGCAGCATTCATTCCCGTGGGGGCTGTCTTCTTGCAGGAGGTGACCGTTAAGCTCAACCTGGAAGGATGAATGAAATTGAGAGAGGAGTGTCCAGAAGGAAGGAATGACAAAGGCCAAACACAAGCAAACGGGGCTGTGTGCATGTTCCACCGGCATCCAGGTGCAAAAGGTAAGAGGGGGTTCGAGGTAGGGAGGTAGGTTAGAATCCAATGGTGGAGAACCTCACATGCTAAACTGAGTTTAGGCTTTTTTCAAAGGGTAATACAGAGTGACAGAATCTGAGTTGCAATTTGGGGAGAAGGATCTGACTGCATCGTGAGGAATGCATTTGGTTTGGGGTGAGAGGCAGGGTCAAGGAAGCAATTGCAATAATCTAGCAACCAGTTCAAGGGGGGACCTGAACATTTAGGGAGCTACCGTAACAGAGAGGTGAACACCCAAGTCCCAGGGAAATCTTTTAAACCCATGCAGTGTGCCAAAAGTCAGCCATCGATGCATGGGGAGGACTTCCTCTTTTTCTGGAGGATACGTTGCCTCCCAGCCTTGACTCTGAGGGGAATAAGCTTTCTAACATTAACATGTTCTGAAATCCAATTTTCCAGCTGCCTCGTACATTGAAGAAACAGCTAGCTCACAGCTGGATGATCACACCTACACAAGTGTGCAAAAGACAGCTCTGGCCTACGCAGTTCAGATGTGAACTCCTCCAGCAAACCTTTCCCAGGAATCACTTGGGCAAAGGGAAGACTCTGCCCCATATAGTAACCAAAACGTTTCTGCCTGTGACCGTAAAGCTAAGCCATATTTTCTCCAATAGTTTAAGTGCCCTGGCCCTATGCCACTACCTGCCCGTTTGGCAGAGTTCAGTAATTTCCCAAGGGATCCCTCTACATCCTTTTTATAACATATAAAATTTACATCAACTATTTTCAGTGTGCAGTTCAGTAGTGTTAAGCACATTCACATTTTCATGCAACGAATCTCCAAAATTCTTTTCACCTTGCAAATCTAAAACTCCATACCCACTAAACAACGACTCCGCACTCCCCACACCTCTGAGCCCCTGGCAACCACCTTTCTACATCCTGTCTCTATGTATGAACGGATAGGACCACTCTAGGTCCCTCATATAAATGGAATTGCACACTATTCATCTTTTTGTGACTGAATTATTTCACTTAGCATAATGTCTTTTTTATTTTTTTATTGATTTCAGGGAGGGAAAGAAAGATATAGAATAATCAATGATGAGAGCAAACCATTGATCAGCTGCTTCCTTCACAAGCCCTATTAGGAATCAAGCCCGCAACTGGTCACATGCCCTTGACTAGAATTGAACATGGGACCCTTCAATACACAGGCCGACGCTCTATCCACTGAGCCAAACTGGCTAGGGCTGGCATAATGTCTTCAAGGCTCATCCACATTGTAGCATGTGTCAGAATTTCCTTCTTTTTTTAAGGCTGAATAATGTTCCATTGCATATACATTCCATTGCACATAATTGATGGACACTTGGGTTGCTTCAACCTTTTGGCTATTGTGAATTACATTGCTATGAACATACAAGTATGAATATTTGTTCAAGATCTTGCTTTCAATTCTTTGGGGTATAGATTCAGATATGCAATTGCTGGATCACATGATAATTTTTATGTTTAATTTCTTTGAGGATTCATCATTCTGATTTCCACAGCAGCTGTACCAGTCTACATCCCCACCAACAGTGCACAGGGTTCCAGTTTCTCCACGTCCTCAACCACAATTGATATTTCTGTTTTTTTATAGTAGCATCCTACTAGTTTTGAGGTAGTATTTCATTGTGATTTTAATTTTCATTTCCTTAATGACTATCTATATGAGCATGTACTTGTTGGCCATTTGTATATCTTCTTTGGAGACAGTACTTTTCCCATTTTAAAATTAGGTTATTTGGGTTTTGTTGTTTAGTCATAGGAGTTCTTTATATATTCTAGCTACTAACTCCTTATCAGGTATATAATTTGCAAGTAATTTCTTCCATTCCTGACCCCACTGCATTCTTAACAACCCCACCCTTAAATATCGACTCTTAAATCGTACCGATCTCCAAAGCTGTTCTCTTCTGAACTACCATCCTAGGTTCAGCTCCTATCACCCCTCCCCTCTCCTCCCAGGACAACTGACAACAGCCCATCATGGCTGGGACTTACGATCAGGAAATAACCTGAAGTCAAGACACTTTCCAAAGGTTGAGCAATTTAGGCTCAGGTTTATTCAAAGGAAATTTATTATAATATACTCTTGAAATGTTATTATACATTGGGGAAGGGGTGGGGGGAGGTGACCTTTTTGTCAACCATTTGAAAAATGTTGGGATCTTGTGCTAAGTTGGAGAAAACAGTGTATAACTTTGACATAAACAAACTGGTTTGGCAACATTGATTTTTCAGAAGGTCCATGACCTGCAAAAGTTAAGTCAATCTGGATGATGAATGAAGAGTAAATCATTGTTGAGAGGTATTATTGGATTCTTACATTCACGGTAAAATAACTCAGGGATTATGAAGGAGAAATGTTTCATAAACTTAATAAGGAGGGGGGGAATATTGTTAACCAGAAAGCCACGCTGTATTTCATAGTGATTTTCCTCTAAGTAAGATGAACTGCTGAGGAATAATTAGGTGTAATAATCTTATTATTTATGTCTTATTTCTGTGTCATGACCCACTGCAGCATTTATGAAGCTCAGGCACTTTTTAAACTTTTAAAAATGTTTCACTGGATGTAATTATTTGTTAAGTATAGTATAGGTACAACTTGTTGGGTAAGATGACCTTCGGTAGCACACAAATAAATATTTTGCTTTAAAAACATTAGGGAGTTCATAATTGCATTTATGTTTTGGCTATTTTTTGTTTATATCAAGGGACATTGCTTTTCCATTTACCATAGTGATACAAAGGGTCATTTTACTGAAAATCTACTTAATAAAAAAGAGTACTATGTCATAGTACAATGATATGGTAAATGGATATGGCAAATATAAGGACAGAAGGCAGGAAACTAGTTTGTAAAATACTACCCTTAAATAACAGGGAATTTTGATGAGATCTAACAGACAACGTCTTGGCTACTGTTTCCCTCTAATTGTGTTCTTTATTTTTTTTAATTAAATTTATTGTGGTAACATTGGTTAACGACATTATATTATTTTAAAATAATTTGCTATCATTCCCAGTATCTTAGCATGGCAGGCTCTAAAACATATTTGTTGGGTAATTGAGTGAACAATCAATCAATAGAAGAAACTTAACCATTCAGCCACAATATCATCGCTCATTAATTTAGTTTATAGGGACAGTAACAAAAACATCTCCAATACATTGACTATTTAGTATATGCCAGGAACTGAATCAAATGTTTTTCATCTATCATCTCATTAAATCTCCACAACAACTTTATGTGGAATTTATCGCACGCCCCCTCCCCCTTCTTACACAAAAGTAAGACAGAGGTTAAGTTGCTTGCTCACATGTATCAAGTATGGTCTAATCTCTAAGGGCCTTTGTGGATTACTTAACAAGAGGCCTGAAGTGGATGGTTTCAGAGTTCATTCAATGGTTCAAAAAGGTCAAGCAGCTCTGAAAAATCTCCTAACTTACCTCCTAGCTGCCACAACGTCTTCTTCTTTTTTTTCTTTTTTTTTTTTGTTTCCTTTTTTTTCTTTCTTTTTTGTCGTTTTTAATCCTTGCCTGGGGGTATTTTTCCATTGATTTTTTTTTATGGAGAGTGGAAGAGAGAAAGAAATCGAGAAACATCGATGTGAGAGAAACACATCAATTGGTTGCCTCCTGCACGAGCCCTGACCAAGCCTAGGCCAGGGAGTAGCCTACCACCAAGGTACATGCCCTTGACTAGAATTGAACTCAGGACTCTTTGGTCTGTAGGCCAACGCTCTAGCCACTGAGCCTACACCGACGAGGCCATATCCTCATATGGATGCTCCAGGCAGGGAGGGAGACTATGGGGGCTGACACCAGCCAGCTCTCCTCTCCAAAACACCTCATTTCTGGATAATCTCTTTCCCAGAAGTCCCCAACACATTACCCCTTACATCTAATTGGCAGAACTGTATCACATGGCAACCCCTAGCTGCAAGAGAAGCTGGGAAAGTCAGTGTCTAGCACTGTGGTGTGGACATGGTTGGCTTAGGCCAGTCCCAGTTCATCTCTGTGGCTGGTGAAAGACTAAGCTCTTCCAAGGTTGAGATACCTTAGAAGATAACAAGAATGGAGAGGGAAGTTAAAATCAGACGCATGAAGAGAAAGGGGAAGAGGTCCCCAGACTGTAAAGCAGTCAGGGGCCAGATGGCTGGGAAAATAGAGGCTTGAATCTCTAACGGCAGGGTGTCTCAGTTTCAGCACTATTGACATCAGGGGCAGGAGAATTCTGTGGTTTGTGGGGTTGTCCTGGGCATTGTAGAATGTTTTTACAGCATGCATGGCACTGACTCCAATGGAGGACACCCCCCCTCAATGATGACACCTGTGCCCCAAACGTGAAACAGAATCAAGGGCATTCCTGCTGCTTTGGCACTGCCAGGACGTTGGCACACTCCTAGCTGTTGGGGAGGGGGGGAGATAGAAAGCCTCATTAAGGACTGAGATTGAATTTACCATCAGCCTAAAGTGATAGAAAGTAAAGAAATGTGTTACTTCTCTTTTCTGGCATGCCCAAATTTTATGAGCTAAGATTAACACTTTCTATGATGTGAGAAGAATGCTGAATTCACTGGGCCAGTCAAAGGCACCACAATATCCTACTCTAATGACTCACCGTTCCCAGCCAGGCTGTGTTCACCTTTCTGCCCTCCCATCACAGGTCTCCGGTTTGTAAGGCCAGTCACATCATGCGGGGCTGCTCGGTCTGCCTGTGAGCTTGGCCGATGCAGCTCTGCTCGCTCAGATGACATGGAGCCACGGCTGGGATACAAATTATGAAGCCGGCGCGAGCAGCATGGCTGGACACAGGCCTGTGTGAGGACAGGCCGGGCTGGGAACATTGCATGCTGTACTATGTTCATAGCAATGCCATTAATCAGTGCTGCATGTGTGCGTTGGGTGGAGGATAAGGAGGGTGTTCTTCCTTTTTGTCACAATTTGAAAGTGTTGGAATCTTGCACTGAATTTTGCAAGAATCTGCAGCATGGAGAGTTTTCCAGAACAAGAAAAACAGTTTATAACTTTGACTCTAAAGAGGCTGGTTCGGTAACATTGACTTTTCAGAAGGTCCATACCCACAAAAGTTAAGTAAATGTAGATGCTGAGTGCCGAGTACATTACTATTGAAAGGCCTTAGTCTTACTGTAATTAATAATTAATTCAGTCTTAACTGGTTTGGCTCAGTGGATAAAGCGTTGGTCTGCAGACTGAAGGGTCCCAGGTTTGATTCCCGTCAAGGGCATGTACCTTGGTTGTGGGCACATCCCCAGTAGGAGGTGTGCAGGAGGCAGCTGATGGATATTTCCCTCTCATGGATGTCTCTAACTCTTTATCCCTCTCCCTTCCTCTCTGTAAAAAAATCAATAAAATATTTTTTTAAAAACAATAATAATTAATATAATAATTATTATAAATTATCATGTAATAATTAACGTAATTATTATTATAAATTCTCATGTTGTAATGTTGGAGGAAGAACCATGAGGATGCTGCCATGGGGTTTCCTGCTCTCCCCTGATTCCCTCTCGGAGCCCCTCACCGGGCACAATCAGGTTCGTCTTGTTCAATGTCATTCTCCCGTGTCCTCAGAGTCCATGGGGTATATGACTTCGTTGGGTAACAGAGTCTTGGCAGAAGTAAGCACGTTAGAAAGGGTCCTGCGAGATGAGAATGGGCTCTAAACCTCGTGTCTTTGTTAGAGGAAGGAAGAAGGGTTTGGACAGAGACGTGGGAGGACACAAGAGGGCAGAAAGCCATATGAAAATGGAAGCACAGATATATATATATACACACACATATATATACATACATGTGCAGATACACATACATATGCATGCACACAAATATATAAATACATATACACAAAAACATACATATGCACATACACATATGCATGCACATACACATACATTTACATGTGCACATGCATACATATACATACACAAATATACATATACATACACATACTCATATATGTCTGTGATTGGCTAATAGCAACAAAAATAATGACAATAATTTACCCTCCAGAGTAATGCCAGGGGAAAGATTTTCCATAACCTGCAAGTTTTCAACCTGTACCCTAAAACAGTAGTTCTCAACCAGGCACAATTTTGCTACCCAGGGGATTTTCATCATCGTTTTTTTAGTGGAGTCATTTTTGTTTATGACAACTTGCGGGGGAAGTGCGACCGGCCATCCCGGGGCTGTTGCTAAACATCCCACAATGCACAGGACGACCCCATAATAACGACTCCTCTGACCCAATGTCAGTGTGGCCAGGGGCCCTGCCTATAAACACACTGGAAGGAGCAGTCAGATTGCAGCACAAGCACCTCGTTTTCCTAACGGGCAAACTGGGGCCGGGAAAAGAGGCCGCTTGTCCAAAGACGTGCAATCAGGGAGCGGCAGGGCCGAGGCGGATGCCCCGTCTCTTGACCCCCGTCTCTTGGCTCGGGCCGCTGCCCACAGGACCCAATGGCTGGGAGTGAGAATGAATGTAGAGCTGCCGAACAGGAAAAGGGGCCTCTTTCCCACCCTCCCAGTAACAAACAGGAGTCTTGACTCATTATCAGAGCTGGCGACTGGCAGAGGCAGCAGGGCTGGCTGGGAACGCCTCTAACCCTGCGCCCAAGGCCCAATCACAGCAATTAACCGTGTGGTGCCCACCAGCCGGCTTCGCGCTGGGCTAGTGCCCAGATTGCTAAAGAGGCGCCCCTCTGCAGCGCAGCGCCTTGGCAACCACAGGCTCTGTTCTCTGCTCCCGGTGCAGGGACCAGGGTGCTCCAGCCGTGGGGTGTCTCCTACCCATCACAGAGTGGGAGGTAACCCCCCAAATAAAAGAGAGGCTATCGCTTCCCCCACGCTTCCCTCTGCCCACCCCCCTGCCTCCTCCCTCAGCCCAGAGGTGCTTGCTCGGGCTGGAGTAAGGGAAGGAGGAGAGCGGAGAACAGATCCCTGCCTGCAGCATTTATTGGGCTGAAATCAAGATTTTTATCTCCAGGCCCCCAGCACGAACCGATGAGTAACAGAACCATGGCCCACACCTGGGCTCCTCAGCATTCTGTGGGCTTTTCCATCAGAAACCAATGTAAGTAGGTTGGTCGGGCCCAAAACAGTGGCCATCCCCAGGTCCTCAGAGTGACCACTCAGCCATTTTGCAACTAGACTTGGAATTTCTGGCTCAACCATGGAAACGCACTGGCAGCTGAGAGTAAAGCAGCCAATGTGTCCAAGCCTGGTCTGTTTGCAAAGCACTTTCACACATCCTCTGAGAGGGCTGCAGAGCAGCGTCAGGAAGTACCTGGGCTCCCGGGGCACGGGGATTTGTCCGAAGTCTCGCACCCAGAAGGTGGGAGAGCTGAAGTTCAAATTCAGGCCTGAATTCTCCCTCCGCCTTCTCTCCACCACAATTGATACTAGTACATACTCGTGGAATCGTATTGGCCTGATCAGAGTCCAGTCTCCTGGCTCACCCCTTGCCCACTGAGATGGCCCTAAAACGCTTTGGTAAAAGCCCAGGGCTCCAAACAAGAGTTTGAAGGCGGCCTCCACATCAGGCCTCCCCCCTTCTCTGTGGCAGGGAGGCTGGCATGGGCCTGTCCGCTTCTAATTGGGGCCGGCCCATGGGGAGCCTCAGCAAGCTCAGAAGGAGGGAGAAGCCTGGGGTTGCATCAGGCTCCTTGGTTCTCTCCACGGAAGGTCATTGGTCCTCTCAGGACAGCTCTCCATCTCCAGTCTCTTCCCCTGGGTTCCAAACCTGTGGCTCTAAGACTATTAACAACTAATCAAAACATACCACCTGTCAAATGATGGCAAAAAAAAAAAAAAAAAAGTCTTTCTTAAAGAACATGGGCTTTGGGGTCAGACAGACCAACCCCTTGACTTTTCAATCCCGTGAACCGAGTGGCCTCTCCTTGAGTCCAGGCGGGTCGGAGACGATTCCTGACTGCTCCCGCGTCTCCTCATCTCCATGCGCCCAGCACCTCGCACGGGCGAGGCACAGGCCCGCCGCTCAGCGAACAGTGCCAAACAAACCCTAGGAAGTGGGGCTAGATGCATGGTCCTTGGAGCATTTTGAGGAGTGGACTTTGTTTTCACAAATAAGACCCTTCTCTAAAGCAAACAAAGGTGATCTGCAGACATTTAAATTCCCGTTCCCGTTGCTCACTGAAAACTGTTCCCTAGTTTAAGGATCATTTGAAGTCCTCCAAGCCCACCTGGCGAGGTTCATGCCTTCATTCCACAGAGAGCCCCGAAGACGGCCCTCTGTGCCGGGTGCTTGAAGGAGAGCAGGGAGCGGACCCCGGGCGTCCCTGCCCCTGGGGAGCTTGCATTCTGGAGGGAGAGACAATAAAAACGCACGTTAACTCGCTGTAAATCATTTCAGATACTGACCAGAGCTCAGAGAACGAGCAGCTGGAGGATGTGAGAGAATGTGGTGGGGAGGGGCGATGCTTTAGACAGAGGTGTGAGGGACCTCTCTGAGGAGAGAATGTCTGAGCCAGGATGGAGGGAGGAGGGGCCCCAGGAAGAGCTGGCTGAAGAGCACTGGTGCGCAGGGCAGAGTCCCTCAAGAGTAGGGGTGTCCAACTCAATCAGAGAAGGGGCCAAAATCTAAAATCCAGCCTAAATCGCGGGCCGAATGGTTTACTGAACAATCATAAACTGTCATTGTGATGGAAACGCAGCGGAGTGCAGTGATGACAGTGCCGTGCGGGCCACATTGCAAGGCCTGGCGGGACGGATTTGGCCCTCGGGCCTTGTGTTTGACACATGTGCTCAAGAGGGACTCTGAGACCAAGAGGCAGGCTGGTGTAGTGCAGTACGGCTGGGGCCCGGCCTGCCAGTCTTCCCCTGCCAGTCTTCACTTGCTGTGCAATCCCCACAAGTCTCTTACCCTCTTTGGGCTTTTGTTCATTATCAGAGAGAAGGTTTAACAGCACAATCTTTCTTTCTTTTCTTTTCTTTTTAATATTTTATTGATTTTCTACAGAGAGAAAGAGAGAGGGATAGAGAATCAGAAATATCGATAAGAGAGAAACATCGATCAGCTGCCTCCTGCACACCCCTTACTTGGAATGCCCCAGCAATCAAGGCACATGCCCTTGATGGGAATCAAACCTGGGACCCTCCTGTCTGCAGGCAGACGCTCTAGCCACTGAGCCAAAGCGGTTTCAGCAACAGTACAATCTTTCTAAGCTGGTCCAACTGTGACCACCCTGGGGAGGTTGGGGGGAGGGGGACAGGGTGGGAGGGGGGGCATTTGACAGGACACTTGCAAAGCTCAGGCTGTGCCCTCTCAAGGTCTTGCGTCCAAAAGTGCTGAAGACCAACAGGCAGTCCGCCCAGCATGCCCTCTGGGCAAAGAGGATGAGAGCCGAGGCTCTGAGGCTCTGACAGCTTCATCGCTGCAAAATGAAGACGTTGTTTCTCCCAGGCCTGTCTGCAGGAATAAAACCAGGTGGCAAAAGCCCAGAATGCTCCGCTTAGCTGTCGGCAGCCCTCCGACTGGCTGCAGCCTTGGAAATAAATGGTCCCGTCAGCGGCTGAGGGGGGTGAGCTCAGGATTTCAGATGAAAATGAAATAAGAGGGAACGCAGCCCAGAAGCAATGCAAAGTAACAACAGGATACTAAAATCTTCCACTGCAGCCGGAGTGCTGCACGGGGTGCTGACCTCAGACTCGGGGACACGGGGATGAGCTCATCCCCAGGGCTGGCTGGTGGGCCCTGTGCGGCTGGGGTCCGTGGGCCGTCTGAGAGGACCCAGTGGTTTCTTGCCCACTCCCATCTTGCCCCAGACCAAACAGCCTGCAGGAACAGACCTGCCTTCCACCTCATGCCAAAGGCAGGGAGACTCCAACCTAGCACTCCCAGCAGGAGGGAGACAGGTTACAATCCCAGGAAATGAGACGATGCAGAGAAGACAACCATTTAAAAAGCCATCATCTCCCGGCAGCTGCAATCCTGCTAAAATTGAGGTTCGGGGCCATTCGGTCTGTGTTGCAATCACAGCTTCTTGAAATCCTGAGCAAATTACTTACCTGTGTCTCGGCTCTAAAAATAGGGGAAATAATAGCACTGACCGCATCAGGTTGTTATGAATGAAATGTAAAACTCTGAGAACAGATCTGGCACATAGTAAGTGCTCTCAAGAGTTAGCTTCTTTTAATTTTCATAAATGCATTCTTTTATATTCACATTAAATATATCTCTGTGTATACAAGTAAAGCAACCAGTACTGACCAAGTTCAAACACCCATCTGAGTTCACTGATACCAAGAAGTCACAAAATAGATTGTTAGCAAGCACCCTCCTGACTTTCCCCTCCCACATCTACCCAACCATCGTCAGCAATAATGCCCAGCCTTCCTCTGAGCCCTGCTAGTGCATAGCATCTCTGAGGAGCTGTCTTCCCTCCTAAAGTTTTTCCTTGAAAGCCAGGGTGAAAATATCAAATGCTGCCCTAGTTGATTTGGCTCAGTGGATAGAGCATTCCTAGGACTAAACTCAGTAGGGGTGTCGAACTCAATCAGAGAAGGGGCCAAAATCTAAAATCCAGCCTAAATCGTGGGCCGAATGGTTTACTGAACAGTCATAAACTGTCATTGTGATGGAAACGCAGCGGAGTGCAGTGATGACAGCGTGGTGCGGGCCACATTGCAAGGCCTGGCGGGACGGATTTGGCCCGAGGGCCTTGTGTTTAACACATGTGCACTAGAGGATAGCAGGTTTCATTCTGGTCCAGGGCACATACCTCAGCTGCAACTCGAGCTCCAATTGTAAGAAGCAACCAATTGATCTCTCTCTCTCTCTCTCTCTCTCTCTCTCTCTCTCTCTCTCCCACCCCACCCCCCGCTTCTACTGTCTCTGGAAATCAATGGAAAAGACATTCCTCAGGTGAGAATTAACAACAACAACAAATCCCCAGTGCTTATAGGAGCCAGGCAGGTAAAGTAGATGAGTACAGGAAGCCCACTGTTAGGCATTAAGGAGCAGTGGAGACTGTGGCAAACTGGAGAACCCATACCCCATCTCATGGAAAAAGTTGTTACCAGCTTCAGCCAATTTTACCAGTATATATTCAAGGTCAGCACATCTTCTAAGTTTTCAAGGGAAGCCAGAGATGAAGATTTTTTAATGAGGTCTCCTAATTTTAAAATATTGGCACATAATTCATTATTTTTAAAGCATGGCAGATGGAGCAAGATGTACCTGTTTGTGCCCTCTAAGCTGGGGGGCAGAGCCTCCCCTGCTGTTACCCACTGCCAGGCAAGTGTCCTTTCCCTGCAAGAACCAGGACATTCTGGCCGGGCTGTAGCAACAAGGAACACTAGACAGAGCTTAATTAAGCTCTAGACGGAACGCCTATTAATTGGTAAAGGCTTAGAGAGAAAGTGAGGGCGAGAGTCCCCTGAGGGCTGGAGCCGTGGAGGGAAGCTGAACGGAGGAGGTGGGCTGGGACGTGTCAGGACCAGGAGAACCGTAGCCCAGAGCTGCGGCCCTCGCTTGTCACGAAGGTGCCCTGGGCTGATGGCACTTGCAGACCTCCCGGGGCAAAGGGCCGTGCACCATCGCCTCCACGTGGCCCTCGCTTGGCCGGAAGTCCTCACCCTGGGCAGAATTCTGGAAGCAGGTGGATCTGTGGGCTGAAATGTGTCTTTTGTGTCCTGAGTGCCTTCGCAGTCCTTAACGGACATGTGTGCCATGATCCAATGAATGAAACCAAAGAGCAAAAAGCAAGACATCGAAGGACAAAGTGCATGACCACACTTCCAAATCTGAGAATTTCCCCCAAAACAGGGGAACACGCACAAGGGCTCCAATGCCCAGGGCATGCTGCAGCCCTGAAGATCCGGGGTTTGCACAGAGGAGCCCCTCGCGTAGGGTGCTGGGAAAAGGACAGGGACAAGCTATCATTACCAGGGTCAGCGAGGTCTACAACAGCCCCAACGTGTCCAGGAGGCAATGCACAACCTATCAGAGCTTCAGCAGACATCTTGGATCATTCTAGAACACATGTGTCAAACACAAGGCCCGCGGGCCAAATCCGTCCCGCCAGGCCTTGCAATGTGGCCCGCACCGCGCTGTCATCACTGCACTCCGCTGCGTTTCCATCACAATGACAGTTTATGACTGTTCAGTAAACCATTCGGCCCACGATTTAGGCTGGATTTTAGATTTTGGCCCCTTCTCTGATTGAGTTCGACATCCCTATTCTAGAACTAAAGTATAACCCCTCCCCTGGCCAACGGTACAGCTGAGAGGCTCAAGGCACCAAGGGGGCCTGTGTCCAGTCACAGCCAGTCTAGGGGCACAGACTGGACCAGAACCCAGGTCTCCTGACTCCCCATCCAGAACCGCCTGGGGGCTAGGAGCAAAGCTGGACTGGAGTGAGGCAGGTGGGCACTCCACAGGGATGCAAAATGTAAGGAGGACCAGAAAGCTCAGTGATGACAGTAAATAACATTGGAGATCTTGCTCCCTGACATAGGTCATCAGTCTGGCTCAAATAACCTCTTACCAAAAAAAAAAAAAAATTTAAATAAATGAATAACATTTTGATAGAATATTTTTAATCAAAATTAGTACAAAACACATCTAGGATGAGTAAAATATCAACTTTTCAAAGAAAGCTTTAAGTCAAGTTGTGCCCTTGCATGGCCCCCAGCCTCACCCCCTGCACCCTGATCCCGGCCAGGACTGGTCTGTCAGACCCCCGGTGACACTGCCTGAGACCTGCCGGAACTCGCTATGTGCGAAGGCCACTCCAGACAGAAGGACGAAGCCTGTGTGGGGTGTCCAAGGCACAGCGAGGGGGCTGAGACCCATCCCCACCCCATCCCACCCCCAACTCAGCAAGCTGCAAACCGCCCCCCCCCCCCAATATACATATAAACTCACACACAAATACCCAGTTAGGTTCCCCCACCCCAGAGAGCTGAGGGAGAAAAACACCACCCCACCCCTCCCCACACTCACCTCCTAATAACCAGTTATCTTGCAAATCTAAGCCTTTCGTCTGGAGGGAGGAGATGGATAGAGAAGTCGGAGAGCTCTGCATAACCCTTCATGCCATAGAAAAACAACCCAGAACTTTCTGACTAACTGACAGCTTGGTTATGAATGGGAAGGGAAGCGTATTCTTAAACCGCTGACAGCAACTCCCTTTTAAGGTATTTCCTCGGGGCCAGAGACGCCCTGCGCCTCCTGCCACCCGTTCTGATAGCGGCGTGTTTTCCAGTGACACGCTTGGGCTCCAGGGTCAGACAGACCTGGATTCAGATGCAGCTTTGCATTTACCGTCTGACCCTAGACTACTTGCCAACCCGAGACCAGCAATTCACAGTTCCCTGGGCCCATGCTAACCTAAAGGACAAAATGTGGGCTGAGGGGCAACCCATAGGCAAGAGGGGGGAGGCCTTGAGCCAGCACCAGCACACCATCCCCTAAGAAAAAAAGAAAAAAAACCTTTTGTGAAATCTTCCAATTTTTAAAAGTTGGCAACTAGATCAAAAAATTTTTTTTTTAATTTAACTCAGCAGGGCCAAATATAACAGGTGTGTGAGCCAGAGCCCACCTATGGGCCCAGTGTGTACCCCTGACTTGCAGCAACCCCCCTGACACCTTGTAGGTGCTCAGCAAGCAACGACCATCCCATCTTTCCTGAAACCTTTCCCAGGCAGCATCGCCACACACAACAGCTTGGAGAGGAATGCTTCTCGGGCGGAAAACGAAGATAGGAAGAGCTGAAAATCTGGAAGGCTCTACAGGGAGGGAGGACTGAAAAGAGGGAATTCCTTAAAAGGATTTAAAAGAATTTTATTGGACATAGTTTAGCACAAGTCAAGGATAAGATCAGGCAGTAATTTAACTCCTGGGCACAAGTGAGTCTGTGTTTGTGAGGTGGATGAGGGAGGCGGGGGAGGCAGGCAAGGAGGGAGGGATTACCCTTATGGATGGTTTCCACCCAGGGTCTCAGGGTCTTCTGTTCATGGGTCACCCCAACATTTGTCTCAGGTGCACGGCGCTCTGATAGGGCCCGCCATTGGGAGCAGCTCCGCCTCAGAGGCGCTCGTAGCCCAGCCGCCCCCACCCAATGGGAGGAAGGCTTGAATGCCCAATGGATCTGGTAGCTCAAGTGGGCTTGGAAGTGAGACCCACCGGGCTAAGTTTCAAACCTCCAGCATCAGTGGTTCTCAAACTCTGATCCCCAGACCAGAAGCATCAGTATCACCAAGGGACTTGTTAGAAGGTCCCTCTAATCAGATACTTGGGGGGGGGGGGGGGTTAGGGTCAACCATGTTTTCAACAAGCCCTCCATAGGGTTCAGGTACACATCCTTGAGGTCTCTCTGAGATAGTGAAATCCACCTCATAGGATGGTCCTGAGTGGTCCACCAACAATTATTTCAGAGGCCTGGTGAGTCTGTGCTGGGCCGTACGGAAGATGCTTGGGAGGGTAGCACACAGCCCTGGCCCTGATGGAGCTTGAGGTCTCAAGGGAAGACCAACAATAAGAAGGGAAAACATATATATGTTTTCCCTTCTCATTGTGTGTGTGTGTGTGTGTGTGTGTGTGTGTGTATATATATAAAATCTTCATTGTATATATATATACACACATCTGTGTATATATGTGTGTGTATGTATATGTATGTATATATGTATATGTATATGTATATGTATATGTATATGTATACATCCCCTAATTTCCAGATGGTAGAGGCAGGCTGAGGCCTGACCCTTCACACAGAGCAGTTTCTCAAAGTATACTCCAGGGACCACATGTCCTGCACACCCTCCCAGTCCCCTCTCCGATGACCCTGTTCCTCAGATAATCCTCCCTCTCTCCTGCTCCGCGAGCATCGTCTTTGCTGCTCCATCGCCTGGAAGCTCTTCACGGGCTCCTGCCCCGTCAGGGCTCAGTCACCTCCGCATAGGTCCATCTAAGTGGTCTCTCTCACCTGGTCGGGATGACCTAGTGGTTGAGCGTTGACCTATGAATCAGGACACAGTTTGATTCCCAGTCAGGACACATGCCCTCCAGTTGCGAGTTGTGGGCTCACATGCCCAGAGAGAGAGTGTGCAGGAGGCAACAGATCAATGATAATTCTCTCTCATCATTGATGTTTCTCTCTCTCTCCCTTTCCCTTCCTCTCTGAAATCAATATATATGTTAGATAAAAAATAAAATGAAGTGGTCTCTCCCCTCACTCTGTACCGCACCCCACTCTGCATGTCAGCAGTGTTCCTGGTTCTGCCCCTCTCCCAACAGGAGGTGAGTTCTTGGGGGCAGGGGCAGTTGCCTCCAGGGCGCCTGAGCCAAGGTTTGCCACGTGAGTGTGCTCTCTGGCCCTCTTTATGAAATCCCAGAAAAAGTGGGCCCCCACCACTCCGGAGCCTGCTCCCCTCCCTAAGGAGAAGCCACAGGCAGGGCCCACAGCCCTGGTTCTCTGACGCGAGAAGGCTGTAGAGCCTGGAAGGAAAAGAGGAGAGGAGGGTGAGAGGCAGCAGGCCTCAGGAGCCTGGTCTGGCTCTGACTCTGTAGCTCAGTTGGTTTGGGCATGGTAAAGGTCTGCCAGGGTGGCGGGAGAGTCACCCAATGGATACATGGATGGGTGAAACGACTAGGGGGTCACACTCACTCTCCCCCGGCCCCCACCCTTCCTCACTTTAAAATCAGTCCATCAATAAACAACAACAAAAATAAAAAATAAAAGAAGCTGGTTCTGCTGTGGCGCCCTCTCCGGTCCAACCCAAACCCAGCAAAAGCAGGAGGACTCCAGCCAATTCAGAGGTGAGGCTGTGCTCCCAGCGGCTGCCTGTGCCCTGGGCAGGGCCCTGGGACCCCAGAACCCGCGGGCCGCTTGGCCACGCAGACTCTGCGAGGTGGCACAGGGGGACCAGGACCTCGAGGGGAAGGCACTGCGCCTGGCACATGCTGTCCCTAGAAAAGTGATAAGAAGTGGACAGACAAGCCGCCCACAGTGGCACAAGGGGGCCCTGGCAGTGGTGCGCCGGGACCCCAGGGAGAAGCACGGGCAGGCGAGAGCGGCCCCAGGAGCTGGGAGCGCGGAGCGAGGGCCCGGGACGGTGGCGCGCAAGGACTCCATGTGCCCGTGGAGACCTGAGCGGTGGCGAGGGGTCCGGGCCAGAGGCGCCCCACGCCCGCCGGGAAGGCACAAGAGACCCCGAGGCCGGAGCGCCGGCAGCCCGGGAGCGCGGGAAGCACGCGGGCGGCCCCCGCAGGAGGGAAGGGGCAGGGGGCGGGAGGCGCTGCGCGGGGCGGCCGGGCAGGGCCGGGCTCGGGAGGGGCCGGTGGGCGCCGTCCATCCCGGGGGCCGGTGTGCGGCCTCAGCAGGGCTGCGGGGAGGGACGGCGCCGCGCTCCCGCCGCCGCCCTCCGCCCGCCCGCCCCGCGCTCGGTCCCTCCCTCCGGCCCGCCTCCCGCCTCTCCCTCCCTCCTCCCCCGGCGGCTGCCGCGCGGTGCTCCCGGCGCACACGGAGCCCGGCGGGGACCGCGAGGCGGAGCGCGCGGCCCTGGGTCCGAGTGGGGAGCGGAGCCGGCCCGGGAGCCCGAGCCTGCCTGCGGCTCCGGGAGGCGGCGGGCAGTCCCGGAGGCCGCCGGCCCCGCGCCGCCGGGGCTCTCGCCGGGGACCCGCGGGGACGGAGCCGCGGCCCGGCAACTCCACTCCGAGGCGGGGACGCCGCGACGGCAACTCGAGGTGGGAACTTTGCGCCGCAGCCTCGCCCGGCGCCCCGAGTCCCCGCCGACCCCCGCGCCTGCAGACTCGGGCTCGGGGACCGATCGGGGCGCCTCGGCGCCGACCCCAAAACCTGCCGAGGAGCGTGACCGGGCGGCCGGGGATCCAGGTGCACCTGCGGGCGGGGCGGAGCGCGCTCGCCGGTCACCGTGCGCGGCCAGCGGGTGTTTGCCTCGAGGTGGTCACCGGGGTGCGGAGTGCGGGACCTTCTCCCGGCGGTGACTTGGGGGAAGGGGTGGGTGCGGGGGGCTGCATCCTAGCGAGACGGAAGCGGAGGTGTCTCCCCGCCTTGCGGATCCTGGGAGGAGGGAGTATTGGGGAGGTGGACGGGGCGCCTGTCACTCCATCCTCAGGCAGAGAATGGGGCTCTCCACCAGTGGGCTTCGTTGAGTCATTGATTGACTCAGCAAGTCTCTACTGAGTGCCTACTGTGTGCTCGGCGCTGGGGGTTCCCAGACAACCCTTCGCCTGGAGCTCCAGCATCTGATAGGTAAGGTGGGTGGTCACCGCCTCAGCCTCAGGGTCCCCCTAACTCAGGAAGGCTCAGCCTGGATGAATTGGGCTTTTGGAGTTAGAGAGGAAAGGAGAAAAGTTCATTCCCTCATTCGTGGTGGCTTGGTCAAAGGTTGTCTGAGCACCTACTCTGCTCAGCTCACCATGCCAAGAGCCTAACACCTATTATTTCATTCATTTAACAAAGTCACGGAGGCCCCTGCTGGGGGGAAGAACATGGGAGGAGAAGGATGGGATGGGGACCGGATAGGGCGGAGGGCGGCTGGCAGCTTAAAGAGAATTGTGAGCCAGCCCTCCCTTGAAGAGCCCCCAGCCTTGGGGTGGCTGTCTCAGCAGCGTGTGTGCGTGTGTGTGTGTGTGTGTGTGTGTGTATGTGCATGTGTGTGTGTGTGTGTGTGTGTGTGTGTGTGTGTGTAGGACAGAAAGTCACCGGACAGGCCATTCTGTGGCCATCTAGTGTGTCCATTCTCCAGGGCAGAAGGAAGCAGGTTCTGGGGCAGAAGGAAAAAGGTCTGTGAGAGGCGCCTTAGGGGAGGTGGGAGTGGGAGAAGGGTTGAGAAGCACTGATCTAACATTACGGATGAAGGCAGGCTCCCACCCATGAGGTCCATGCGTTAGCGGTCCACTCAGCGGGCATTTTCTTAAACACTTGCTCTTCTTACGCACTTGCAGGGTGCCGGCACCTAAGTCACCCAGGTGGATGAGACAGACGCAGAGACACCCCCCACCCTCCTTTGCTGACACCTTGAGATAAGTTCAGGGGGAGTGAGAGGAGGGAGCAGGAGTGATTCATTGCACTTGGGGAGGGG